CAACGGGTTCGTAATTCCATATACATCAATTTTCATTTAGATAGTTTTGTCTAACGAGCGATCGATCTTTATTTCATACTCTGTGACACATACTATTGTACTATGTCATTACGGAAAATTATAACTTCCTCATACGAAGTCAGATTTAGGCGTTATTTTTATGCACATTATCGTATTCACGAATACTTCCTATAGAGTTGAACGCGAAACTTATATAAATCGTAACTTTCTCATACGAAGTCAGATTTGAGCGTTCTTTATATCCACGTGCTCGTGGTAACGGTCTCTACGACTTTTGTTTAGATTATTTATCCAAAACAATCTTTTATTTTTACACTTTATTTTATTGCTGAACAATAAATTTTATAATAATGTTTTCTACAAATATTATGTAATCTTAATATTTGTTTATATAACGTGTATGCGATAAATATTTATTGGATTTTATACTCTAAGCAATGATTTTAATTGTTCCATAAAATGTATAATAATAATTATTATACCTCAAAAATCTAGCCTAGATTTACGAGCGTTACCATTACCTCCCACTTAGGATGATTATGTCCCGAAATCATACATCAGCAAACTAGATCTAAATAACGATTCCTAAGCCACCTTCCTATCTCCTAGTAAGGAGTTTCCTCAGTACTTGTTTTTACACGGTACTATCTAAACCAATCCCATCGTCTTATATACGAAATAACGTTTTAGGTGCCTTTATGACAGCTTAACAGCCTGCTGAACTAATTCCATAACATTAACTTTATTGATTCAAGGTTTCATTTAAGCGAACTTGTTACGTCGAAGTACTCACACGACCATTTTTCCATATCCAAAAATGATAAAGTTGACGAACTTAACTGTTACGTGCCCCTTTCGGGTTTCGACTTTGCTGGACTAAAACAATTTTCATGTTATCACCAACATAAGTATTTTTAAGAAGATCAGAGAATGGTCTCAGATCAAAAATATTTACTTATTTCTGATAACGAGTCTATGAAAAATTCTCTATAGACAAATTCTTTACATATGTGATATATAGGAAGGTATATATTTATCGCTTGGTCAATTCTGATCCATAACATATCTCGATTTTATATAATCTTGGGTCACTTGATGATAATATCTAAGGTAAGATCTTTCTACTTACCCATAGGCATAGGTAAAAGTCTCAATTTCTCTCACGATATTTGATTTCATTTTCTCACTTCCCAATCAAAACTTATATTCTATCATCTATATAACAACAATCGAAACTAGTAACTCTTTTCCTAGCTTTTTGTGTTGCAACTATCTTGGATCTTGACATTGAATCCGAAGTCGAGTTGCCTTTCACGCTTTTTCCTTTATGGTTGGTTCTCCCTCACTTGGGTTTGAACCTCATATGTTGCTACTCTCAACCGATCAAAGCCTAACTGGCTCAACTTATTTTATTTTTTTTCTCCTTTTCTTACTGGAAGAAACTCCTGATTGTCATATTAATGAATTTAACATCCCCAACATAGTATCACTGTTTGTGTTTACAATGAGTGATCTTCTCACGTAACACAACCACCGTATGATCAAGAGCACGACGAGCATGAATTCGTTCACTAATGAACACGTATGCAAAATGGTATAGGAGGATATTAGTAACATAATGGAAATAGTAGCAACAATGACGGTTGCAGAACTCAATATTATTCTTCACTCTTTTCTAGGACGATTGACCTTGTCGTGCTCCAATTGATCTTCTTGTAATGATCCTTCCGATCATCTCTTGAAGCATTTGGGTAGAAACATACAAAATACACCTGCTTGCACCACATTTACTAGATATAATCACTTCAACTCCCCTGGCTTCATGAAAAAAAAAATCAATAGGTTTGAACCTATCTATTGATGGTGGTGCTTGAACCTACACTTGTTCTTTTACCCACCGATGGACCTTCTGTCCTAACTCCTGAGCTACAAACTCAAATTTTGTCGGAGACTCCTGCTGCTTCCTAAATTGGGTTGTAGTATTAACCAAAGATAAGTTCTTTACTTTGGCTATAACAACAGACCAAATGGTCACACTCTAATGACCTTCCATTGCACGACACATCAGATACATAACAAACTAGACCCTTTTCTCCACAAGACAAACACTAGCACATAAGTCTTCTTCCATCTTGTGCTAACAACCTGATCCTTTGAATATAGAAGGTCAACATACCACCACATCGTAGTAGGCATTATCTCTATCTACTGGCTGATCAGCCTTAACGAAGGTAAAAGTTCTTCAGTTGGCATCTCGAGCATCTCCTTCTTCAACCTCCCGACTATAGTCGGGCACCACACAGGACATGGTTCTCTGAACTAATCAACTCACTTATGTAGATTTATATTATTTGGATTTGATCCTTCATGACCACTTGGGTCTTGAACCAAAAAAATACTTTCCTAGTCGTTATTATAAAGTAGGTAATAATGGTAACAGAAAAAACAAATTCAACTAATACTGTCTTAGTAACCTTGCAACTCCTTCTGATCCAAGTACGAATCATTAGTTTCTGGTAGTACGGGCCTATACTACCTTTCACACCTATGAATACTCATCCCAAGAATTGCCTCATAGTTCCCAAGTCAATACACATGAAAAACCATAAAGCCATTTAACATTTTTGTATGTGCCAAGTGAGAACATGCAACAAATTTTCCTAGACTCCACTAGGATTTTTGCATCCCTACCAAGCTCTCTAACAACAACCATGTGTTTTACCAAACACATTCTAAATTTACTCGAATCTTCTTCAAGGATTCTTTCATGCATATGCTCGATCTAGCATATTCTAACGCTTTTTCTCAGTTTTCTAGGAATTGTACTTTCGAAATCTTCTTATAAATTCCTTCCAGTATAGTGCCCAGTCTGCAGAGCATAATACATTTGAATTTATTCTGGTGGTATGGAGACAAACACTCTTCAGCTTTTTTTACAATATGTTAACATATCCAAGTCACCATGCATATCGTCCTATCCCTTCACTTCATCATCCTTTACTTTATAGGAGTAAATCCTAAAAATCTGCCTCTCAGCTACATATCTGTCATGTTTACTTCATAGGAGTCAATCTTAGGAAATTTGCATTATAGCTACACCTTAGCATGTTCCACTGTCTTCCACTTAGTTCTTTGTCATCTCCCAACATTAGTATTTCTCCTTATGCAATACTATAGGTGTATCACACTTTATCTAAATGTTCTAACTTTACTAAATGAGTAAGTTAATTCGCGCTTTACAAACCATTAACTAATTTCAAAATCCTAGTCTTGTATGTCAAAGTCGGATTAACATGTTACAGAACTCTTGTAAGGGTGTGATAGAAGTCAATTGTCACACGATATTATTAAATACCAAGTCAGATCATCCAATATATGGTACATATCAGCTCTTAACATACCACTCGTAAAGATAGACAAAGTCTCCGTTTATTGAGTTTTGGGAACTCTGTCAGCCTCAATATTTTCGTCTTTCTCAAACTCCCTGAATTCTTTATAGCATCTCACATAACTTCAACTTTGATATCATTGAGTTATTTATCACCATCTTTAGTACTTTTAAATCCGTAAGCAACCACTGCTTCAGTCTGGTCAGTGGTAGAATCGCCAGGCGGTGGGACAACTTCATGGATCACACTAAAGTTCTATTATCTTGCCAATTGAAAATGTAACTTACTCATACAATACTCCTCCAAAGATACTATTATTTTACCAAATGTACTCTAAAGTTACAATGACACTCTATAAGTATCGATACACTATTTACTATGTTACCGATGTCAACTATCTTAATTTTCCTTATCTTCTCGAAAAGTTACATGCCAGTTCTAATTCAATAATTAAACGTTTAGAATCCTATACACATAAAATTTCCTTTTCCAAATCAAGGTTGGCAATAGACCTCAAGTTTATTCAATTAATAACAATCTAGATAGACAACCTAATGCATGCTATAATACATATCATTTAGCATATATTAGCACATAACACATTAGTTCTAAAGTATGCTAGTGCACCTATAGTAAGTAAGGTATATAACTTAAGACATGCTATATAATAACTTTATTAGCACATAATATTAATTAAGGCATTTACCCTAAAATATTATAGTGCTTGTGTCTTTATAATATTAATTTAGATAGACAACCTAAAATTTACTAGACACACCTCTCATCATCATCACATAATCTGTAAGTTTAATTCTATAAATAATCATTATTCCTAGTTCGCTTAAACAAATGCTCTTATACCAACTATGACATCCCCTGTTTTTCATAACCAAAAAAACTTTTTTTTTACGCTTTAAAAATCATAATATCTTTGTTTGTAGAAATCGCAGTACAATAAAACATTTTGCAGAAACTATTTCGTTTTATTAAAATATCTTTGAGTAAAGATGTTTTTTCAAAATACAAAACCCTAAGGATGTCATAATCAATACACAACATATGTTACACCTAAATACCTAATGGTCCCGAACATTATCGCATGTTGTCTCATAATCATTCGACATCCTAATCAAGTTTCAATAGCTTTAACTCTGTTACCTGTGATGCATATAATTTGAGTGGGCACTTGTGTTTTCCATTTGTCCCATGTTATGTTTCACTTGGTGATGACTCGGCGTCTTTGTCTTCTGATCTTCTTGGATTTGTTCTTTTATTTCAACATTTATGTGTAAAGAGGGCGTTTCTTCTGGAAGTTGTACTTGCCCTGTGTCATATGAGACCATTTTGGGCCCCGTTGTCAACTACCAGTGTTATCTGTATGTCATGCAGGGTTCTCTAATCTTTTTACTGGATTTAGCATAAGTTCCTTTGTCTTTTCTTTATCTGATTATGGGTAATCTCTTGATATAAATGCTACCTCTGGGTGTTTCTCTATGCTCATTTATTATTGCAGATCGGAGTAAATGCTCATTCTAGCTAACATCGTATTTGGCCGATGATATCCCACCCGAGTCCATTATGGTGGATAACATGGTTCCTGACCAAAATGTGGACCAGATGAATGTGACACCCGAATCACCCCTTTCGTTTACAGGTTTTGGGTCGAATGCTTTCTCTATTGAGCAGTTGTTGGGCACATATTTCCCTGTTATTGGTTCTGGACAGGTTGGTTCTTTTAGCTCTGCAGGATTTGTGCCCCCCTTAGGTGTCTCTTCTAGCCGAAAACGTAGATGGGTCCTTTCGCCTGCTTAATTTGATCAGTTTCTCTAGGAAATTTCCAATGTGGGCCCTTGATGTGACTATCCCTTGTCCTTTGGTCATGTGGTCTCCGAGCCAGTTGGTATGTAAATGGATTGGCGTGTGTTACATATTTACATCTATGTTGAGCATAGTTCATGATTACTTTGTTCTGTTAACGCCATTTTCCCAACATTGTAGGTGGATGGCTTTCTTGTGTGTTGCTTGAGGAAGAGCTGAACGAAGCATGCCGGTTTATAGCTCGCGCTGAAAAATTTATCTTCGCCGTATTCAGGCGAGAACTCAACTTTTTTGATGGGTTTTTAACCTTGCGAGACTAGTTTTTAGCCACGGAAGTGAATGTATGTGTTTCCGAAGTCATGAATCTTGCGAGCAAGGAAATTTTGGTGAAAGATGGAGAGATGTATGATGACTTATCAATACGTTATCAGGATGCTACTACCAAGGTATCTTCTCTAGAAAATCAAGGGACGCTCGCCCAGGCGAAGTATGAATCTTGTCTCCAGGAGAACAGCGTGTCGCGTTCTCAGCTTCTTAACAAGTCTTGACAGTGTGGGTTATATGAGTCGGTTGTTCTCTTGTTTTTTTAGGCAAGCGTGAACTTGGTCTTTCGCTTGTGTGCCTAACCGACTTTGATTTTGTGGTTGGTCTGTTTTGGTACATTAATTGTTGTTGGTGGTGATTGTTTTGTTGTTGGAATCTTTGGTTTGCTATTGTATTTAGGTAATTGAAAATTGATTTATGCGTTTGGTAACACATTTTCTCCATCCAATAGATGTTAGGTAGATATATGGATTGATACTAGGTGTCATGAACAACTAATATGTTTCTTGGGTATGTGTAATGGATATATTGGTGTAGTCATCGAACCAATATATACGATTTGAAGGATAAGTGTATGTTTGGGCTAACCGGGTAGTCTTTTTGTCTAGTAGTGATACTCAATGTATGCATAAGTGTGGTCGGCGGACCGAGCTACATGTTTTGAAGAATAAGTGTATTTTTGGGCTAAGCGGGTAGCCTTTTTGTTGAGTAGTGATACTTGATGTATGCATAAGTGTAGTCGGCGGACAGAGCTACATGTTTTGAAGAATAAGTGTATTCTTGGGCTAAGCGGGTATCCTTTTTTTCGAGTAGTGATACTCGATGTATGCATAAGTGTAGTCGGCAGACCGAGCTACATGTTTTGAAGAATAAGTGTATTCTTAGGCAAAGTCGGTAGCCAACGTTTTCCTATTTTTCAAAAAGTTACCGGTCTTGCCACAATCTTTTGAGATTTTATACATGATACCGAGAGGGTCTAATGATAATACTTTCTGCTTCTGCCATCCTCGCGCCAATTGTTGTACCAGCCTTTACGTAGTCAAACATAATACTTCCTAAGGTTTTTTGACATGCCACGTTCGTGGTATTATTTCTCCTTCCATTGTCTGTATAATGTATGATCCGTCTCTGTTTGCTTCATTTTATTATGCATGGGCCTTACCATGTTGGACATAGTTTTCCCTACGGATCTTATCTACTGGATTCATTATTCCGTAATACCGTATCGCCTACTTTGAAACAACGACCTTTGACTTGTTGGTTGTAATAACTCTCCATTTTCTTTTTATAATGTTCATGTAGTATTGCTGCTACCTCCCTTCGCTCCATGGAAACATCTAGGTTTGGTATTATGTTGTCATCATTACTATCCATGTCCAAATTTGTCATTCGATTTGTGAGGATAATTAATTCTAGTGGAAGTACTGCTTCTGATCCGTAGAATAAGCTATAAGGTGATTCTTTTGTTGTTGTTCGGTATGCCCGTAAGATGCTTTGGAGTTCATCAACCCATCATGCTTTTGCCTCGTTTAGTCTTGTTGCTAGGTCGTGTATAATTGTCAGATTAGGGACTTCAGTTTACCCATTTGCTTTTGGGTGTGCTACTGAAGTGAACCTTTGATTTATTCGGAGCTCTTTACACCATTACCATAAGGGGTTATTGGAAAATTGTGCTCCGTTATCTAAAATTAGCGTTTGCGGTACTCAAATCGGAAAATGATTTGCTTCCAAAAAAATTTGATCATGTTCTGGCCTGTTATTGTAGCCAATGGTTCTGCCTCAAACCATTTGGTGAAATAGTCTATTGCTACTACTAAGAATTTGACCTTCCCGGGTGCTTCCGGGAATGGTCCGACTATGTCTATACCCCATTGAATGAAAGGCTCGGGGTTACTAATGCTAATCATTGGGGTTGCCGACTTTCTTGGGATTAGTGCATGTTTCTGTCACTTTTCACAACTGTAGATCACTCATTCTGTGTCTTGATACATAGTCGGCCAATAGTACCCAACCCACGATATTTTATGTACTATTGTATGTGCTCCTGCCACTCGCCTGGTCATCTCTCGTATGAGTTATTTTGCTTCCTTTCCATTTACGCATCGTAAGAGAGGTGTTAAGTACCCTTTTTTCTACAATATGTCGTTATCCACTACAAAGGATGGTGCATTAACCCTTAGCTTCATAGCTTCCTTGTCATCTGGAGGTAACTTGCACTCTGTTAGGTATTCTATTATTGGTTTCCTCCAGTCGCTTGGTTCCTCTATTACTGACATTACCGGCTTCTCCTCTATTGCTTTTACTTGTACTATTTCCACCAATACTTTCTTGGTTAGATAGGGAAAAGTGGATGATGCAAGCTTACTTAACGCGTCTGCATGCTTGTTTTTCGATCTCGGCACAGGTTCTAGCCTAAAACTCTTGAAGTTCTTTGTAAGTGATTTTACTTTGTATGCATATTATGCTAAATTCCTTCCTCAAATTTCATAAAAGCCATTTGTCTGGTTGGCAACAACCATCGAATCTATAGAGGCATATATGTGTTCACACCCCATTTTAATAGCTAATTTCAACCCTGCGATGAGTGCTTTGTATTCTGATTCATTGTTTGAAACTTGAAAGTCTAATCTTAAAGCGTATGTCATCTCTTCCCCGGTTGGGCTTGTTAATATCAAGCCAGCTCCAACGCCTTCTGTACAAGAGGAGCCTTCTGAAAATAATATTCATTGACTCTCTTGCATTGCGTTCATGTCCATGCTATCTGATTCGAGTACCGACGACACTTCCCTCTGGCTTGCTATTACGGTGATAAAATCTACTAGTGCTTGTGCTTTTATGCTGGTTCATTGTTTGAAAAGAATTTTGTGCTATCGTAGTTCCATTACACATTTAGCCAGTCTTCCTGACTTCCCTAGTTTCAATAGCACTTGACGCAATGGGATATTTGTGAGTAGTTTAATGGCATGTGCTAATAAATATCTTCTTAATATTCTTGATGCATTAACTAGGCAGAATGCCAGTTTCTCCATATCAGAATATCCCATCTCTGCTCCTTGTAGTATACGACTTACAAAATATATGGGTACTTGTTTGTCTTCTCTGTTTACCACTAATACTGTGATGGGTTCCGTTCTGGATGATGCTAAATACATGGATAAAACCTCACCTGGGATCGGCGATGTCAAAGTGGGTAACTCGGCTAGTGCCATCTTGAGTTTACAAAATGCGCTCTCTGCTTCTTCCGTCCAATGGAAAGTCTTTTTTCCAATACTCTTTTTAACCTTTTGTAGAAAGGGTATGTTTTTTCAGTGGACTTTGCCAAGAACCGCTCTAATGCAGCTAGTTTTCCATTTAATGCTTGTACTTCTTTCACTGTTCTTGGGGATTGCATTTCTAGAAACATTTCTACTTTTTTGGGGTTCGCCTTTATACCATCCTTTGTGATGACATGCCCTACGAATTTTCCTTTCTCTGTCTCAAAGATACACTTTTAAGGGTTCAACTTCATATTCATGGCTCTTAGGTTAGAAACTGTTTATGCTATATCCTGCAGAAAATAACTGTCGTTTTTGCTTTTGATGATCATGTCGTCCACATAGACTTCGATATTCTTCCCAACCCGTGGTTCAAAAACTTTGTCCGCTAACCTCTGGTATGTTGCTCATGCGTTTCTTAATCCAAATGGAATTTTTATATAACAAAATGTCCCTCTCTCTATGTGAAAAGATGTTTTTTCTTCGTCCCCTATATGCATGTGTATTTGGTGATATCCTTTATAAGCATCCAGAAAACTCATCCATTTGTGCCCGTGTAAGGACTCGATTTTTTCATCAATGGATGGTAGCGGGTTGCAGTCTTTTGGACAAGCTTTGTTTAAGTCCGTGAATTCTATGCACATCCTCCATTGTCCATCTCCTTTTTTTTACCAAGACCAGGTTTACTACCCAGGATGGAAAAAGCAATTCTCGTAGTATTCCTGCTTTTACTAATTTTTTGACCTCGTCATTTATTGTTTTATTCCTGTCTTTTGATTGTCCCCTTTTTTCTGTCGAATTGGCTTACTTCCTGCTTTCTCTTTTAGTTTGTTCTCAACCAATTGTCTGGGCACACCCGTCATGTCTACTGCCTTCCACGTGAACATATCAACATTTTCTTCTAAAAGTATCGTTAATCCATTTTTTAATTTTCGTGGTAACCCGACTCCTATCCGTACTCCTTGGTCTGCATATTTGTTATTGATTATGATTTCTTCTAACCCATTATTTTCTTGTGTTTTATTCAATTCCGTTTCTCTCGCCCCATTTTCCACCATTGCAATGGATTCCACCGATGATTTACTATAGATCATTCCAAATCTGCATTTCGTTTGAAATCGAACAATACCATGAATTGTCGACACGATCTCCCCAAACTTTCTCATTGCACTTATTCCAAATATTAGATTGTATGACGATGATGATTGTACGATTGTGAAGGCTATCGTTTGTGTGTTTTTGGCTTGTATTTCTTGATCCGTTAAAGTTAATGGAATGGAAAATATCCCTTTTGGCCAAACAAAGTGTCCCTTAAAGCTTGTTAAATTCCCTGCTGGTTGTTGCATCCTTTTTCTTATTTGTTCTAGTAGTTGTGAAAAACAATGTTCGTACATGATTTCGGTCGAACTCCCACTATCACAGTATATTCTTAGAATGTGTATGTCGAATATTTTCATATATATAAGTACCGGTCCATCTTCATGGAGGTGGGGAATAAGATCTGGTTCTTTATCAAACATACTATGTAGTTTGTCGGTATCCTTTATCTACAATGGGTAGCTCATTTGTGTTGCTTGACTATCTGGCTATCGGGTATTTCCTCTGTTTGTCACCTAGGAATACCTATAATACGGATGGCGCCAATGTTGATACAGAAAACTCCAGGCGCCTGAATGGCTCTTTCACTCACGAGGGTTTCGTCCTATATGCGTCCGAGAATTCACTCAACGTAAGAATAAAAAACAATGGGTCAGATAGCCATACCGAGGGTTGGACCCCGTTATAGCTCTCTGATGCCTAAGTTAGATTGCAACCATTTGGTATTGCTTTTGTGTCAAGTAATATGAGTTCTCCTTACTTACCTTGTTAGCATGTCTCCCAGGGATATTTATAAGTTTCTCGTGGTTAGTAAAGCCCAGTTCTTAGACCGGTCCTCCACTCATTACCCGATCTACGAGGGGTCGCACATCCTGTCCTTTCCTTGTTTATTTTATTTGCTTTTTACTATTTGGCATATTTTATAGGATATGATTCTGATGCTTGCGTATGGTATATTCAAATACATGTTTGACGAAACAAGTGGCAATGCTTGTAAAGACGACCTGGTGGGTACCAGGAAGATATTGGGTTTCCTCGGACTACCAGCCTGGTACACCATTACCAGGTTTGGGCAAACTTGGTGAGAGACATATGGTTTCCAATCCCATAATATTATGATGATAATAAATCGTAATTATCAAACCTGCAAAACAATCTGTTACCAAACAATATCATATAACATAGATATCTTATAAGACAATCTACCCTTAATTACCCGCCCCGCCGATCCTCACATACTTATCCTATAATAATGATCTTATGATATCTATCCTGATGTATCATTGTAAGCAACGATTTTATTATATTGCTTCAGAGATTCCTTGGCAGCAGGCGTTAGTCAATAAAGGTAACCATAGGGGGGATAGAGTACATCAGATGAACATACAATCCTATTTATTTGGATCAGTATAATTCATTAACACCACCAGATATGTTTTAATCAGGGGTGTCCATCTATACTCTACTAGACGACTGATATATACCTAGCAGTGGTCTGATACAGACGCACCCTATCCGGTTGTCTAAAATAAACACACCACTTCTGGTTGTCTAAAAAGAGGAGGGGGATACTAATATATTACTCCTGTATGCACCCGTACCCCACCAAATCATCATTGTCGTCGAATAGAGTTCTACTCTTCGTTACAATCTCACACACACCCTTAATATGATACTACCTGATATCCAAACTTAATTGAAATACACATCCCATTAGTGTATAACTAGATAAGATTACAATACTTGTAATCAACACGAATTTCGTGCCTATGTAATGTCTTTACAATATAGGATATAAATAAACACTCCTTTCAACTCAATTCAAAAAAATCATCCTTTATAAGTCTTATTTCATCACTATGCAAGACTATAATGCTTATAACCACATTCCAAAACCGTTTTTCTGTTTATACTATACTATCGCATTACAATGTGTGACTGCACATTTATCCAACTTAACTGGATCTGAATATCCTTTATATGTATCAGTTTAAAAACTAGAATAGACTATACTACAATCCCTATAATCAACTTCTAATACCAATCCTGTTTAGACAACACTATCCTAATTAGTGTATAGGGATGTTATTCGGGTAGGAACCGGACTGAACCGACCCGAACCCGAATATCCTGAAAACCGAATAAGGCTAATTGGAGAAACTGAAACCTGAACCGATTAACCTAATACAAGTCTGGTTCGATTCGGGTATTAATCGGTCCAGTTCGGTTATTACCCGAATAACATTCACAATATGATTAAACACCTAATATAATTGAAAAGAACCAAATAAACCATATTATGATTCCATAACCTAAATGGAATTTATAATATGATTATAAACATTGTATTTTTTATTACTTTTGTAGCTTATGATTCCATAAAAAAAACATTAAAGAAACAAATTTGTAGATTAAAATTTTATTGTAAACACGAATGAACTATTTTTGAGATATAAGAATGTAAAATCCAAACACCAAAATCTTGAGATTTAGTTATAAAGCAACATATTAAACACTAAACATTAAACCCAAAAATATCCATAAATAAGTATATAAGTTACACATTAAGCACTCAACACCCAAACTAAAATATGAATCTTAAGTTTTTAACCATATCGAAAATAACATTTACCAAACATGAATTAATTATTCGGGAATATTCATTGGTTATTTTACCTTTTCACTTCCATTGTTTATCGCTTCTTCCAAAGCTTTTGCGACCTCATCGTCTTTCAAAATTTCATTAATGTTGTCCATAATTGGCTTTCTTGATTTCTTTCCCCAATCTTGGATGCAAACCAAAACCTCTACTAAATTTGCAGACAAATTGTTCGGTAGGGATCAAATATCCTCCCTCTTGTACTAAAAGCTGCCTCTGACGCCACGGTAGAGACTTGCAGTCCCAAAATATCTGTTAACATAAACATAGAAAGTGTTAAAATAGAATTATAAAGAAGTATACAAATAAATAAAGTTATACCTTTCGCTATATGGGATACAATAGGGTAACGAGATATGTTTTATTTCCACCAAAGTGGAACATCAAAATCTTTACTGTATTTAATTGATTACTCATTTAAGTATCATGTCAAGTCCATTTCCATTGATGTTGATGTGTAATCCATTTGTACTATTAAATCACCCTTGAAGTCGTTCTCATCATCAATCACAACTACATCTTCATGAGCACGTGTTTGGCTTTAAGAAGTGTCGGTATTGTCAAACTTTTCTTTGTAGAAATAAGAAAAAATATCAAATCTTTTTTGAAGACCCTATATTAAGGCCTTAGCCTTCAAACTGACTTATGGGTTGAGCGTGGGATCTTTTTGTGTATTCTTCAACTTAATCAACTTCTCAAAGGCTTGTTGAAGAAACTCAAACTTGAATCGTGGATCTAATATGACCGCAAAATACAAAAAGTCGTTTATATTTTCAAGGTTTCCCCAATACTTATCGTATTTTTCAATCATGTCCTGTCGGTCAAACAACTATGGGGACTTGCCACCCATTCCTTAATGTGTTTGCACACATCTCATATTTCACATAAAAAACGATGTGTCATCGATTTTGTTGATGTCGATACTATGTCGGTTTCAACTTGCATTTCTCGAGAAATCTAACCATGGATCTACAACTAGGGGGTTATTTTGCTATGAAACCTTGACTTAATCATAGAAGGAGGGACAAGGAGTGATCAACTGAATTTCAGTATAGCTAGGTAAATTAGGATTAAAAATAAATGACTTTTCAATTCCAGTCGGGTATTTAGAACTGAATAAGCTCTTATTTGCGTAACCCAGACCGAAAAAACTGAGAACGAATAAGCCTAATATAGATAACCGAAACCCGAATCGAAT